GGTGTCCTACGGCCGTGAGGGGGGGTGGTGGGAAGGTACCATGCGCGCCGCTGGGGTCCAGCGGCTCGGCTGATCCCGGGTAAGGGGCTCTCGTGGGGAAACGAGCCACAGAAATACCGGGTTGCTGAATGGAGAGGGTAGCTTTCCCTCATTCATTACTAAATCTTATGTAACATAACTATAAACTAAATATGATTTTAGTAAGACGGTTGCCTTAACGCTTTGAGTCAATACTTGAGAATGTCAGGAGTGGTACTGTTTGGTTTAGTGCGAGTTGTTAATCTTGGTCATAAATAGAAATTAATTTCATGCCACTACTGCCAAAATGAAATGTTGTACTAATGCACATTTGGATTTTTAGAAAACAGCAACAGCTGTTGCCCACTGCAAGAGAGGCAATGGCCTCATTAAAGTGAATGGAAGACCTCTGGAAATGATTGAGCCCAGAACTCTGCAGTATAAAGTAAGCATCCACCGAGCCTCGTCCCCTTTGGATGTTAAAATACCTGTATTGACTTGGGGTTGGAGAAGAGTTGCTTGCCTTACTGACAGTACTGCATTTTTTTGTTGTGTGTTACCTGATTACCTGAAATGTAGACGCTGTTACGAGAATCCAAAAGCTGTCCTGTGATTGGGTTGTTGGAAAGGGTGGGATTTTTGCTTGACTGGATTCATGTATGTTGATGTAATTACGTGAAGTATTTTTAGCACTTCATATCTATTTTTTAAATTGAGATGGGTGACTTAAAACCTTTTCTAAAATATTGTTTAGGGCTTGACAAAGTAGCTGTTTGAACGCTGCTGAGAGAATCTAAAACTGACTAGATAACTCTAAAGTCTAATAAATACTGGAAAAAATCACCCACAAATTACTTCAGATCTTCAGTTTTAATACACTTGATGTATTTTCCTAACGTAGTTAGGGCATTCTACTTAAACTGTTCCCTTGCTCTTAATACGTCATTGCATATGCTTTGCTATGAAGATTTCTGAAACTTAAAAAAAATTAAATAAATGCAATATTTCAGCAAGCTTATTTTATAACAACACTAGTAGACGTCAAAGAACTCTGCAAGAGGTGTACTTAATTTGGGGGTGTACTTGTAAAATCAAGGCTCCATTTTTCAGAACATAAAATAACTTCACATCTGGTAAACCTATTACAAGCTCTAATCCTTGTTATTTCTGATCACAAATGAATTTTCTTTCTGTGTTTTGTTTCCCAGCTGCTTGAACCTGTCCTCCTCCTGGGGAAGGAACGGTTTGCTGGTGTTGACATCAGAGTCCGTGTGAAGGGTGGTGGCCACGTAGCACAAATCTACGGTATGATTTTTGGGCGGTCTCCGATGTGGGCTAGAACATGTCAAGCCACATATTTCAGAGGCTACAGTTTAGTATAGTAACTTGTGCATCTCAATGTTCTATTTCTTTTTCCGCTGTGCAGATGCAGTTTTTGATAAGGGCTTGTTGGTTATATTTTATGTGCAAAGCTGTAACATTGAGAGTAAGTTGAATGAAGTAAATTGATGACATTTTGAGGAAATAAGAGGAAACAATCTGTGTCTTAGTCTGACAGGACAGGTCAAGTGCAGATGAGCACCGAGATTTTGGGAGGGGGAAAAAGGGGATTTGTCATTAGAAATTATGTTTTTAGTTGTGAATTTCCATGTTGTTTGGGAGCATCTTTCAGCTGACCTGCAGAGCTAGGCAGATTTTTAGGACTGAGAACATACTTGTGTTACCTGTTGATAGAGTTGCTCTTTACAAATGATAGATTTATTCTGGTGTTTCGGTGTGGCTGTAGGTTAGTGAAGTGGAGCTGAAGCTGCATAAAGAGCAGAGACATGCTTCAGTCTCAAAATGGATTGCATTCATTTTTCAGAAAATTGAGGTTTTCATCAAAGTGCTGATCTTGATGTTCTGACAGAGAACAGCCTAACAACGTCATTACAGTTACGCCCATACTCCTGGTTTGAGTTCTGATGACTGTGTTACTATGCTGCAGGCTTGTTTTACTGAGGTGTGCTAGAAGAACGGCTCATCCCGTCCTGTTGTCCCTTTCGCCTCCTTAGTCCTTGAACACGCTGATCAACTTTTGTCGTTGTTGGAAAGTAGAGACATTTCAGAGAACTGTGTTCCTAAGGATTTTGAACGTTGACTGCTTGTAGGTAGAAGATGAACCGACATTAGTACTTGGGAGAGAAGGTGATCAAGACTGCCCTTGTTACAGTTCCTTGGCTAGCTGGCAGTTGTCAAATCAACAGATGAACTGTGGATGGCATCTTGGCACAGGTTTCTTCAGATCTGCCGAAGTAGAGGGTCACGTGGAGTATGTGGGAGGGGACATTAAGGAGGGAAAGGACAATTTGGCAGAAAATAAGATGGCAGGTTTCTCAGTTAACTGGCACTTCAAGTTTTAAATATATTTGCAATCCTTACTGATCCATTATCTTTTTTTAACAGCTATCCGTCAAGCTATTTCCAAAGCGCTGGTGGCTTACTATCAAAAATGTAAGTCGTTTTGATTGTTGTATTACCCCTAAGTGTGGAAATGTATGGCTTCTGGTAGTTTTGGTGCAAAAATTGTTTATATGGATTTGTTGCATGTGAAACTTTTTAAACTGAAGATTATTTTTTTTTTAACAGATGTTGATGAAGCTTCCAAGAAAGAGATCAAGGATATTCTAATCCAGTATGATAGGACTCTGCTGGTAGCAGATCCTCGCCGTTGTGAATCCAAGAAATTTGGAGGACCTGGTGCTCGTGCGCGCTACCAGAAGTCTTACCGTTAAAATTGTTCCACAGTCATATGACAGTCAATAAACATAAAGAGAATTTGATAAATTTTATGTTTCTAAATTGTGTTTTTCTGTGTGGGTAAACAGATTTTTTTTACTGCGTATTAACTTGAAATTGCTACACAAATTGGTTAGTGTTAAAGTAGAATCGGGGCTATTGGCAGTTCTCTTTTATCCATTCATAGTAAGTAAGTCTAGATAAATAGGGTCTTGGGAATAACGAAAAGCTTTCTGCTGTTGGTCAGTGTGTGGTTATCAGACCAGAAAGAGGCCTTACATCCTATTTTTTTTGTGGGTATGTGCAACAGTGTAGCAGTTCATTAAAGCAGAGTTCAGTCTTTGCTTTTCTGGTGACTCTGAACAAATACAGACCTCTTCTGGTACCTGGATGGCCACTCTTCATGGTGGTGTGAACCAGCGTGAGTAGTCCATGTGAAAAATGTCTGTCTCAGCATGGTTGCAGACTTGGTCCATAATGCATGTGAGCGTGGATCTGACTCCTAGCTGGTAACTTCTGTATTTTGTGTTATGCTTTAGCATGCCGTCCCAGTGTAATGCAGCGCATGCACTTCAGCACTGGCAGCTCACGCTCTTGCAAAGGACTTCTGTTTTCCTGGTATATTCACCTGGAATACCACACTTAGAATGACGTTCCAAACACCACCACGGCGTATTAGATGGCAGTGAGTATTGTCTGCCATTATATGGCAACAAGTATTGTCTGCATGTTAGTGCTTGTTGAGTGGCAGGGAATTCACCCCACTGAGGATAACTGCCTCGACAGAGTGCTAAGGTGGGTATTCAGGCAGCTGTTCGGAAGTTTGGATTTAAAGTTTGTGTTGTCAAAACCAAAGTAATTACAGGGGCAGGGGAGGGAGGTTTACTGAACTCTTGCCATGCCGGATAATACAGAGGCAGAGTTCTCTGAATTAGTGTGTATAAATGTAGAAAGCTTTTTTTAAAAAGAAACAAATACTAATCCCCATATATTCTGTTTCAAAATAGTTTTTTGTAAAATGTAAAAAGAATTTTGTGTTACAAATAAGATTGGGTGTAAATGATTCATCCTTCAATCACATACTCACACAGTACAAGCCCAGAAGGACGTAGACCTGGAGAACATTACATGATTTCATGAGGAAAAAAAAAAGAGCACTCCCTTTGGAAGCCAGACAATTGCTTATGTTATGAGCTGGGTGAGGCAATCTGAAGGCCTTAGGGGAGTAAGTGGAAAAACCTGGAGCTGAAAATATGACACTAATTTTCAAAGATCTATCTAGGGGATGTGTGTAACAAATGAGAAGAAATGCTAGAGAAGTTCCAGTTTTTCATACGTTGAAGATTTTTGTTCCAGAAGCGATCTCCCAGGGGCAAAAAAGAAGAGGAAAATTCTGGGTGAGACACACGATGTGCCAGCAAAAGGCTGTTGGAAAGGCTAGTTCTGTCCCTGGGGAGAGGCACAAGTAACTGAGCGAGGCCTTGGCTACAAGCTGACCCGACAGGCACGGGCACGGCGCTGGACTGTTGTTTCCTGAGCTTGGAAACCAGTTTGGAGAGGAACTGGAAGAAGCATTGGAGATGAAGCAGCTGAGAGCCGAGCTGCTGCTGTACTGCTCTCGAAGCCTGGTATTCCTGTATCTGTTGTACACTTGCACGCCAATGCTGAAATTGTAGGAGCACCTTGATACCTGAGGTTTTTGTTGGGCTTTCTATTAATGTGGCGTTTATTCTCTCACTGGTTTAATAGTAGGTCATTTCAGCAAGTTAAACCAGCTTCCTTTGTGAGTTGGGTTGGGGAATTGGAAAGAATAGGGCAATTCTGCCTTTTTATTCTAGTTAGGAAAATAAGTGCTCGTTGCTATTTATAAATACTAATATTTGTTATGATGTCTCTTTGCTTTTTCTGTAGCAAGGCATTTAAGGCATCTTCACTGAAGTGTAGTTATTCAAGAGTTAAACGTGTAACTTGAACAAGTTCCTTCTGAAAAGGAATTCTCCATCCATCTCCCATTTTAGCTGTCAGCATCTGCCACAAAATACTGAGTTACATGACCTGAATAAAACACCCTTATTCAAACCCCTCACACTCCCATTGAAGTGGAGGGGGCTGTTGTACATTCTATCGCCAATTTACATACCAGGATTTTTTGTGTTACGCTAAGCAAATGGGATATTCTATTCCAGACGCTTTCTGTCTCTTTGGCAAGGTGCATGATTTGCTTTTCCCAGTCCCCCCTTTCTGCACCATCAGATCTGACCTGTTTCTTGTCCAGTGGGTTCTTGAGAGTTTCTAACTTTTAGTAGAGTTGCTCATGAATTACTCTAGATCTTGGGCTGCTGAAAACTGTGATGTTCTGCCTCCTAGCCTGGCTTTCTAAGGGAAAGATGCTTATGCAGGGCTAACTTCAAATGTGCTTACTTGGATTCCTATGAGTTTTGTGGAAACTGGCATCTTGATAGATGTTAATGAGCTTCAGCTGAGGAAAAATAAGCCTTTTAGTTGTTTGGCTCCTGTGGTGACTGAAAAGCAACGGCTCACTCATTGCTTAGGAAATGTGTGCTGGCCTGCCAGTTGGCACATACGTATGCTGTGCCGCGGCTTGTCCAAAACTGATTCTTGCCTGGCTGTTAGAGCAGTCAGATGCAAAGTTACCGTGGTGTGAAAGTGAGGGAGGCCGGGGCAGATGCAACACCTGATGCTTGTAGCCTTAAGGGTGGATTTCACAGTTATGAGGAAACATGATGTTTCAGTTTTTCTGCCCACAGAACAGCTTGTAACAATTGAGGATTTTTGTTTTGCCGTTCTTTTACGGAGAGGCTGAAAATAAAACTCATGTTGCTACTAATATATCCAGAGATGATATCTGCATGTCATTTCTTCAACTAGAAGGCTCTTAGCATAATAAAAATGCTTTCTGAACTGAACTCTGATCCTATAAAAATGCCACGTTAATCCTGTAGAGTGATGTCATTCCCACAGACTTGATTTCTAAATGAGAAACGTCCATGGAATTGGGCTGGTGTCTGCCTGGGTGGCCTAAGAGTTTTATGCTAAATGGCTACTTACTCATCACCCGCTAGAGGGCTTAACTTCATTGGGGAAGTGTAACTACTGTGAAGGTTGAAGGTGTCAGGAGAAAACCTGTTCATAAAAATGTTTCCCTTCCTGATGTCCTGGTTCTGCAGGGATGGCAATCAAGCTCTTGTCATTGAGCATCCGCTCTGACCAGAGACACGCTTCCAGAGAGAAATAGTGACGGTTCGATCTTCGTGCCTCTAGCGAGATTCTTGAGCATCTGTGGGGGTGGTGCTTGGAAAAGAAGAAATGCCTCAAACCTCCCATCGTCCAGCTCTTTCAACAGTTTCACTGATGCTAGTCCTTAGGAAGAGCAGGTGCATGCATCAAAATGTGGCCCCACTTGAGTTAAAAATACCAGTGAAATGAAGGCTGGGGTGCAAGTTCTAGAAAGTACCATGTTTTGCTAATGATGACAATGGATTCAATTCCAAGCCAGGGCAAGCTTGTACCTGTGGTACTGCAGGCGGTTATTTTCTCACCCATTCTTTATAATCCTCATAAACTGTGTAACCTGTGCATAAAATGAAGTCTTCTCAAATTATGTTGGAAAATTTGGGGCAAATTAATTTTGGCTGTAATATACAAATATATTAACATTGAAATGTTTAAATTTTATTTTTAAAGAAAAATCTGTAACTTAAAAAGTAACACTAGCATTTTTTAAGTATGGACCAGTGTTCTGTATCGTGGTTGTTTTCTTATAAAAGTGATAATTTTTTAATGCATTTTTTCTATTCAAGTTTTTAAGAAGTCCCAATCTGTGAATATTCTACTACTTGTGCAGATAACGTATGTCGTTGCCTCGATATAATTTGATTAATGTTTATTTAATCTTTTTCTTAATATAGTTCTCTGAGTTACAGTTCAGCATACTTGGCTGAATAATTCTTTTTCCTTATTAGCTGACTTCTTTTCATCTGCTTGGGACTGTGCTGTTTCCTACCTTGCCTTGCGCAGAGGTATCCAGACCTAATGAAGCCTATTGCTCCAACTCTTACAAAGACTCTTTGCAGCTGATGAGGCTTGGCCTACTTTTTAGAAGTTAACAACTGTGAAATACTAACTTTGCTATAGAAAAGTTAAAAAAAAGGCTATTTTTGATAGTTTCTGTTAAACCAGTTCATCTAAATTAATGGAAAGATGTGAAGATGCATATGGAGCATGGTGTGAAATATGGTCTTGAGGAAGGGAAGAATCTCAGATCAGATTTCTCAGAAGAGTTTGAAAGAGTTTCTAAACCAGACTTAGCTTGAAAGTAAGATAGCACAGAGGCTGGTAATGGAATTTGGAAGCTCTAATGCTTGGATTCACCTCACCTTGAGAGCAACCTAAGGCATTGTCCTTTAAGAGTAGGTTTATGAGAGGGTGAAATGTTGAGTAGCCTCTGCCACTTGCTATAAGATAGGCACCCACATAACAGTTCACAGTCTGTGACTGTGACTATATCAGTGTGTTAATTTGGATCAGGAGCTCACTTCTTGTGCTTCTGTTTGCAGTCTGGAGTTGGTTTGGATCACATGGAGCAGACAAAACTAAGATGGGAGATGAAGTCCAGCTGCAGATAAGCGGCCGCTCCATGGGACCAGCCCATAGCTAGTCAGAAGTAAAAACAAAACCTCTTGAAATGTGAATTATGTGAATGTCAGCTTCTCGGATCCAACAGTAATAAAAATAATTCTTAAGAAATACTCCAAACACACTGTAGTGTTATAATACATATCAGTTTGCAATAAGTATCCTTGGGCCGCCAGTGATCCTGAACCTGCATGACTACTGTCGGCTGCTGTGTGGACACAGCGTTTTTGTCTTTGTCTGTGGTTGGAGAGGTTGAATGTTTTCCTTTGCCTTCTCTTCTAGTCCAGCTGGGGAGCAGCGAAGAGAAAGGGCTAGAAGAAATGATGGGACAACTTTTTACCTGGGAGAGGCCATCAGCTTCTACATTTTATTTTGGTCCAAACCCACCTTCTGTAGCATGCTCAGAGGGTCTCACAAAGCACATCCTAGGAAGAACAGAGGGTTAGGCAAGAGAGGCTTTGCAAAATAAAATGAGTGGTAGCAGTTTCAATTAGCATTGTATGAGTCTTTAAAACTGCGCTTCTTAATGATTCTGTTAATGTTAGGGTAAAGCAGGTAAGATTTTTCTATTTTAAAATATGATCACTTTTAATTTTGGTGAAATGATATTTTTATGTTTTCATGGAAATTAGGAGCAAAACCTGTTGGCCCTGTTGACTTCTTTCTCCTTTTTGCCTGTATGACATTTTCATAATACATTTTATTAAAAGCAAAATAGAATTATCCCCTGGGAAGCCTTCTTTTTTGATATACGCAAACTGTACACAAATGTATCAAATATTCCTAAAAATCCAGGTGTATAATTTAATGCAAGTTCATGTCTCTCCTTTTAGAACAGATAAAGAACATCAATATGTTAATCTCTAAAACCATCTGGCTATAATTTATACAGTAGCGTCACTGCAGGGTCTTGCAAAAATGTTTCACTGTGATAAGCAGTAAAGGGCAGGGCTGAGCACAAGCCTCAAAGCACACAAAGGTGTGTGACGACTGAAGGAACTCTCCAACCGTCATGACACGGCAACGTTTCTCTGCCATTGTCTGGTATGTTATAAAGGGCCGATTCAATTCACCAGGGGAGTAATACTTGCAGGTCTAGTGAAAGTGTAACTAATACAGACTCTGCTGAGGAGTCACCGTGCATTGCTAACGAGAGACATGCAGCCAGAAAGTTGTGTGCAACACTTGCAAAGCTCCTGAAGCTGTATGTAGCTACCAAGCTTGATGTCTCCTCCTCTTTTCGTTTTTTGCATTGCATTATTTAAAATAATGCATCCAACTATCTAACTTTTAAAGGATTTAAACACACCATAGAAATACATAGTTCTAAGATGCCATCGTAATCAAAGCCATTAAATTGGATAAATTTCCTATTACTAACTTATACTAAAATGAACATCGTGGGAAAGCTCAGTTTAATGATACCATGGAGTATATTCTTGTTTCATTCATTGCTGTCCTCTTTGCAAGGTAAGAACTTTATTCCATTTTTGTAGTAATACTAACTTTAAAATAGTTTTTTGCTGAATATGTTAATATTACAGCTCCTTCTTTTTCTGTCATTATAGAGCATTTTTTTGACCCTTGCTGGAATTCATAAATAAAAAAGTTTTTTTAACACAGGTGAAAAACTAGATATCACCATTTTCTTTCACAGGTGTAGAAACTAAAATAGTACTTTTTTTGACAAAAAGATGCATTTTTGTGTCTGAATTTGTTACAAAACAATTATTTATGAATGAAATTCAAGATTCTTGGCTTTCTTGCCATTATTGCTAGATGAGTAAACATCTAATCATTTTCAATGGGGTATGATTCTGTTTGACCAGACTGCACCTGCAGTTGATTTAAGCATTTTTAGACTGCTAGGGTAAATAATCGCTCTTCTGGTTATAGAAATGATCCTATTTTCTATGTAATGCAAATGGATATTATAAATAGTTTTCTTGCAGTAATTTTAAAGATTTCTAAGGCAATATGAGAAAGAAAGGTGTTGGCTGGTTTGTTTGTTTTAAAGCATGGACTCCAGACCATTTTAAATTATTTACAGCTGAGTCTTACAAGTAACATTCAGAAAATGATTATAGGTAACCACTCTAGAAGTTTAATTCTGGAAAGCTCTGAGCACCTCTTGTGTTCTGTCAGTTTTGTTCTAAGCCTCTGAAGAACTATGAACACTGCAATTTCATGGTAGCATGCACCAGAACTGAGACCATGGAAACTTGCAGGTGATGAATATTTGAGACAATCAAACTCTCAGGAAGCAAAACACATAGTGCTAATCCCTTGGGAAGAGAAAAAGTTTGTGTAAAGATGGTCTGGAAAACTTAGGATCATTAAAGCACAAAATTTAATAGTCTTGTTTTAAACTTGACAAACTATTGTTTGCTAAGTGCAGAGTGAGGATGTAGAAAAACTATTTAACTTGATGACTTTTTAATCTACAGGATCTTATTGCAAGCTTTCTCTTTTGAGAAGAACTTCAAGGTAAATTTTTATTCCTTATTTGTCAAGTCCTACAAACAGAATAAGAATGACTAAGTGTGATGCAGTGCAAGTTAGAAAGTAAAATATAGCTTTGAATTCGACATGTATAATGTCATGTACGTGCACGTTGGATGTAAAACACACTTTCAGAATGTTTACAACTGTTTTCAAAGAATTTACATAAGGGCATGCGTCCTTTGTTTGAAAAATGAAGGTCGTTATGAAAAATGATACTGCTATGGTCTTGAGAAAGCTTAGAGGAACAATGGAATAAAACCAGGATGAGATCATGATTTTGTGACTGGAAAAATACATTAAATGAGTATCCTTCTACAGTTTTAATTGCATGATAAAATCCTAGCTTCTATTTGAAGCACAGAAAAGTAAGGTCTACACAGCCTTAAAATAAACATTTTCAAAACAAGTTTTCATGTAGAAGCTGAAATCCAAACAAAACCGAAACTAGGGAATGTTCCTGATCCCATTGAATTAAATGGGAACTATGCCATCAATTTCAATGGAAGCATCCAGTCGGACATAGCTTTGGATGTCTAATGACCTCCAACACATCTAGCGAACACACATGCCCGTCAAATGATATGCCATCCTGGACTGTTGATAAAACTAAGTATGTTTGATAGTTTGATGCGCTTGTTTCTAAACTTCATCACAAATTTAAGTCAGCTACAGCTGGAGAGTCATCTCTTGCTATTAAAAGTACCATCACAGTATATTCAAACAACACTTGCGGGACTTGCAGCCACTCGCACACAGCGTCAAGTAAATATGAAGCTGCTTTACAATTTTGTATCCTGTCACCTAAGCCTATTGTGCCTATTTACATCTCCCCACAAGCTCCAGGTACATCCCTGTCCAAGCAGAGATCGGAGTGCTGCCCAACTTGGTAAAATGAGACCATGAAAACCAAAAAGAGGAAAAAAAAGAAAATCACCTTTTTAAATGTTAACCCAAGAAAGACCTCTTTGATAAAGTGATGGTAATCAGAGAGAAACACTTCTCTCCGGGGAGCTGCTTATTCAGGTTGCTCCAGGGACCTTTGATTATACAAGATCCTTTTTGTTTTCTTCCAGGAATGAGTTTAATGCAACTCGACTGAAAAGAGATCTGGTAACAGCCGAGGTAGGTTATACCTCCAAAAGTGGGAGGGAGGGGAAAGCCTCCCCTCTTTTCCGCTCTGAGCCTTTGCTGTCCTTACAAAGGAGCCTTTGTGGGGAGAAGGGCCGTGGTAACAGGAGGACAGCGAGGAGGAGCAGCTGTTCCCTACCTGCTCACCCCCTGCCCGAGCCCGTGGCCTCATGCCTTCACTCCCACCCGACTCCCGAGCCGGCTGACGCACAGCAGGAGAAATAAACCCGTGACGCCTCTGTCTTTTGTGAGGGCAAACAGGGCGCCCGGGAAAGCTGCTAGTGTTCGGTGAGAGCCCCAATGGCGGCGCCGCCGGCAAGGCTCCCCCCTGCACGTGGTGTGGTGGCAGCTCTGGCCCGGCCGTGGTTCCCACCGCCCTGGCGCTTGGTGGTGCATCCTGGCCACGTTGCGCTGAAATTTAATAGTAAACGGGGGAATCTTGTTCCCCCACTGGTACCTGTCTCAGGCTACAGAGCCCCAGCGAGGGCTATGACCCCGCTTGATGGGGGTAGGTGGGAAGCCCAAGGGGGTCCTTCCTCACGGCCTCACGGGGAGCCTGCAGCTGAGCCACAGGTGATTTCCTCTGAGTCCCTTTGAGCTCTATGTGCCTCCTGACCGACTCAGAAGGAGCTGGTGTGAAACGCTGCGCTGAGGTGAATCGAGCCTCTGAAGGAAATGGGACCTTGGGACGGACGGTGTCCCAGGAGGGCCCTCGGCAGGGAAGCGTGTTCACAGCAAGGACGCTCTACCTCCCCGAATAACGCGTGGGCCAAAAGCCACTTTCCTGAGGAGGATGGCTCAGGGTGACTATCAGGGGAAATGGAAATGGGTCTTGTTGCTCAGGGAGGGACAGGATCCTCTCCAGCTAGTGATGGGCTGTGGGGATCAGGAATAGTGTTGGTGTGGGGGCCTTCCAGGTGGTGATTTGATAGAGTCCATTTCAGGTTTAATTTTAGACAGATTGTGCTACTCGGATCCATCTCACAAAGTATTTCCAGTTGGAAAGGGGAAGTTTTTATGCCGCTGTAGGAGTCACTAGTGAGACTTAACCTAACCTGTTCCTTGCCCACTGACGGTCGCTTTGAAATCCATTAGTTCAAACTCCAGACACAGAGAATGACTGATGGCAGGAGGGAAGAAAGAAATTAGCTTACAAGCAAAGACTTAAACAATTTGTTTTCCCTAGTTGTGAAGCTGAAGGCTGGCGTATACATCTGTGGAGAGCACAGAAGGGTAACGGTTTTCTCACAGAACATCAGAGAGGGAATAAATAAAAAACACAGGCAAGAAGCGCTATTTAAGCAAAAGGGCCAAGCTTTATAGAACAAAAGGATTTAAACTGGCCATGAATAAATGTAAGAGGGAAATATTTAACTACCCAGCACTTCACCCTGGTCAACTTTCCAATCAAACTAGTGGGGGCAAAAACCCCGGAGTACTTTCAGCCTGGAATGAGATCAGCTCTTGGAAGGGCCAATGCGACTAGACGAGCTGCAATAGCAGAGCGCTGGGTCAGATCCAGTGCTTCCTTGTAGTCCGACGCTCCCCGGTTCCTAAACAAGATGGGAAGCAGATCAGGCAGATCCACCTCTTCTGTTTGAGAAGGACTGGAATGCAGTTCTGAAGGATCTCTAGGAGGACATGAAATCCATCGTAGCTGGAGTGGCCATCGTGGGATGATCGGAGTGCAGCACACAGAGTGAGTTAGGGGAGAGGATGAAATGGAGGGATTTGGCATCTTTGAGCTCTCCAACTATTGGTATTTTACCAAAGTGAAAAGGGCAGGAGTGCTCTCTGTCCCCTTACTCTTCCTTCCAAACGTAAATGCAAAACCTCCCAGGTGGAGTCCCGCTGGTTCACTGGCACTGGAAGGCATAGAGAGGAGGCCAGCGGTGACCCCATAGTGCAGCTGTATCCTTCCCTATGCCCCCAAAAGCCGTGCTTCTCCTCCCTGCAGTGCTGGTTGCTGCAGTCACTGCCTTCCCCCCGGCCCAGGCTGCTGATCCCTGCTGCAGCACCCGCGGCTGTGCCGCGTGCTAGCCGAGATGCAAATTTCTGTGTTAACTGTCCCAACCCAATGTCAGGCTACAAGGTCTGAGGCTTGTATTGGCTCATTTGTAAAGCACAAACACTCTGGTTTTGCTTTTATGTTTCTCTGACAGATTCAAGCTGCCTCTCCTCAGTCACACCTTCATGGGGCCTTGACTCGGAGTCCGCCAGGAGGTCAGTGCTGTGCTGCTCACCCGCAGGTGGAGAGACGGTCCTGACAGTGCTGCCTTCCTGCCAGCTCTCCTGTGTTACCATGGGCTGGGGAAGCCCTCCACATTATCTCCCCTACAAAACCCTACCGTGTCTCATTTTCTCATTTTATCCATGTTAAATCATGGAAAATTCCTGTTAAAATTGTACTTTCAGAATAATGCGTTACAACCAAATCTGAACAGCTAAAGCAGGCAAGTATTTGATTTTTTTTTTAAAGTTTAGTTCCATTGCAATTTTTCTTTTCTGCCACTTTTTCTGGCCTTGGCAGAGGGAGTAAATATGTCTGAGAGGCATGTAACTGGTTGTGCAAAGGGACAAGGGTGCTCAGGCAATGAGCATGCGGTTGCCCCTGCATGGTTTTAAGCATTGTACAAACACGTAAAGCAGGTCCAAGTTATAGCGGCTGTTTTGCAGAAAAGTTCAGTGCATGTGATCGAACTTCGGTATCCTTCTTGGAAAATATTTATGCCTGTGTAGGTGCTTTCTGTTGTGTTTTTTGTATTACAATATATGTAATTTTACAGTTCACAATTCTAAAAACAACAAAGAAGTTTTCCACATTAGTGCCATTTTATAAACAGTATTTTCTGCTTTGTCGGCATTTTCAGAGTATCGGTATATATTTGGAAAGCAATTCTTAAATGGAAAAATTTCAAAAGTAAGAATGGAAAGGACTTCTCACTGAAGGTTGATGTTCTTAATCATTGGTAACTTCTGTCTGCGCTTTACTGTAGAAGTCCCGTTTTGTTCCCATTTTACATCACTAGCAGCTTTACCATGGCTTCATGTGGAGTGGAAGGGCCTGTTTATTTCATTTACTTCCTGCATTTTGCAATGCTTTTCTAATCTCCGTAAGCAAGATTGTAAGCATTTGTAACTAGGATTTTAATCCTCCCCCAAGCAGGAAAGCAACTATCTGCAAAACCTGATGAAATTTTGCTTTGGGACTACACTTCATCTCGAGCTATGATTTAGACCCACCTCAGCGAATAGTTAGTAGATGACAGTGAGATCTTAGCTTCCAAACAGACTATAAAACCCTTTAATGAAACTGTTTTTGGAAACATTTGCTAATTATAACATAAAACAAGCCATTCCCATGGAATCTAAAGTCTCTGACTCCAGTCACCTCTTAAGCCGAAATAACCTTTTCACTGACTTTTTTTACCATGAAGGGAAGGTTATTTATAATTAGTTTTGACTCTGTAAATTATGTATTCTGGACTGTTCATAAGCTGAATGTGCCCTTTGCTGTAATGCTTAGAAGGGAGGAGCTGAACATATATATAAATTGTGCAGAATTTAGTAAATTAGAATAATCTGTGTCCTGTGTATTTCAAGATCAGCAGGACTGGAATTTGGTTTCTTTACATGGGAACTTGACCTTTTGTTTGCTGGGAGGAGGTTGACCTTTTGTTCCTTTGTTGGTTTACAAGTCTCAAACCAAATGAGAGAGAACCTTGCTTTCTCTCTTAACCAAGAAACACAAAGGGTAAAATGAAGTAAAAAAAGTAAAGACTGGAGATTGTTGCTGGTTAATTTTCTTAGCTAATATAGCTGCTTGTGATTTAATAATAAACAAATTTAATGTGCATCTCTCAGCTTGTTTGCAAAATACTGTATCTACTAAAAGGCTGCTATGCTTGCTGACAGGTTGGTGTCCTCAGGAGTGCCTTAACGGAGCAGGCTGCACAGAGGCAGGTGACTGTGACTGTCAGTTATTTCAGGCTCAAGGAAGCAGGTGCCAAATTGGTAAGTTCTGGGCCAAGGGAGTCAAGTTTCAGCTTGGAGTGAGATTTAAGGTGCAGGTTTTTAAATCAATACTGTTAACCATATATTTGTGATTCCTCTGTAGTAGGACTGTCATTCCACTAGTAGCTAAGAGGATTAAAATGATATGTGTTAGGGGTATGTACAGAGCAACATCAGGAGTGACTACATTTTAGCACCTGGGCTGTAATGATACATAGATACCACAACAGACGGATCATTGTATGGTACATCAGTAGCTAGCTAGCTTTCTCATACTTAGCTGAACAACCAAAAAGTCACTGCATTTTTCTAGCAAACAGTGACCTAATGTAAATAAAATTATCAACTGTTTCAATGCACTGGTTTCCGGAATCTGCTGTGTGTAGGGATCAACAAGGATTGTCTTCTAGGGTCTGCAGTAGACCTAAATCCATTGCCTCTAATTTGTTTATAATTAAAATATCTCCACTGAAGCAAATGAACAGCTTATGATGATCGCACGTGACTAAAACTGCAGCCTAAAGATTTAAAAAAATGTACTGACTTTATTAAAAGAAATGAGTTTATCTTTTGTCCTTGCTTTGTATTTCCTTTACAAGCTCTTATTTCCTTTCTGAGCTCTTACTTATGTAGACGCCTGTGACATCTGTCAACTTTTGATTGCTGTGCTTCTTGTAAACTCAGTATGTTTTCTCCAGTACCTAACACCGGTAAGGACCGAGATGGGATATGCAAATCATGGGGACAGTATCATTTTGAAACATTTGATGGCATCTACTACTACTTCCCGGGAAATTGTTCCTATATTTTTGCAAAAGACTGCAGTACTCCAGAACCCCAGTACACTGTTTGGGTAAGTATGTGAGCATATGCTAGAAATAACACACTGAGTATTCCTGTATTACAGGACTTCTTTTTAATCATAATTAAAATAAGTACAGAGACAATAAATGGATCAAACTGTTGCATTGCTTACTTAAATATAAAACTATGCTTCCGGAAAATGTCTAAGCCTATGTGCAGTAACTCAAAACACTGATGAAACGATAATCAACAGAGTCAGTATATTAAAAATAGTATTTCTTCCTCTGTCTATCCTGAAAAGGATCTCTGATCTCTCCTTTCTGAGAGCGAAAGTAGGTCTTAAAGCAGACCTTGCAAACTTCAATAAACTTTAGCTGTCAGACTGTATTAAAAAAAATAATAAAAAAATTGAGTTGCTGAGTAAAGTGCAAGCAGCTATCACCTGCCTGACAGCTGGCCACCTGCACGTTCTGGGCCCTGATTCCTTGGCATTCTATGGGGAGCTGCCCCCCTGGCCCACAGAAAACTCCGTCCCCTCTGGGGATTTGCATTCTAAATTTGGATTACCTCTGCATCATGCAGAGAAGATTAGCAGTTCAAAAGCCTCCATCTTGACCTATGTCTGGAAGGCACTCTTTTTAGTAATTTCCTCAAATTGCTGAGTATCCATGGTTAATGACTTGGGGTCAGGGAGAGTTCAAACCTATACCTTCTTCGAAGGAAGATGCCCTATTTATAAGGCTGTTGGTTACTGTGGGGAGAGGATACAAGCTCATTATGTTATTTTTCACACAATGATTGGAATTGGTGCTGACTGGGCAGGGGAGAGGGGACAAGAGGCGTCCTAATTCTGAGCCCTGGTCGTCAAAGTGCTCGCAGGAGCAAGGGCAGACCTTCTGATTTCTGCTCCAAGGACTAGTTTCTATTGACAAACACATGACCTCCTTTCCCCCCCAGACAGTAACATCTAGTGAAGACAAATCTGCCATTAAACCTGCCATTTCTAGTCACTCAGGTTATAGAGAGATGCTGTTACCTCTACCTTCCACAATTTCATTTTAATTCTCTGGATTCTGTGTGCAGCTATGATCTTTTAGGATTTTTCAAAAAATGCTGTAGCAAAGCCCAAGATTATATTAAAATCTAGAATCAACATTTCAGTGGGTTCCGTTTGATCTGGAAGGAGAGAAACTACCATTCAATTGCTGGAACAAATGTTATGTTTTTCTAAAAACTGAAAATGTTTACTCAGAAAAGTCGTAAGTAATATTGAAGCACTGCAGTCACTACAGGCTGGGCAATGAAGAGCCAAGAACCTTGCCAGATCCTCACATCATGGTCCTTCTGGCTTTAATAATCTACCTCTCTAGAGGAGAAGAAAACACAAGAATTTATTTGGTTTTCCTTGATTGTGTTTCTGTCTTGGGCCAGATTTACACAGAAACCATCTGTCAATACTAGTAACAGTTATGACGTCTATAATTATGATTATCTTTATACTTGTAAAAACCCTAATGATTTTCCTAGTTTGGTTTATTTCATTCAAAGAAAAACTAAACTGGTTTTGACTTCCAGGATTAAGTGTCAGTTTAGGAATATTAATTTGCGTATGTGTTAGCACTGTATATGTTTACCAACAGATCTTTTCTACAAAAACGATAGCTCTGCTTACTTTTACAGCCTCCATTACTGCATTGGCAAAATGTTTCCTGATTACTAGTCTATTTAGCTTCACAGCACGGTCAAGTAAACTGGTAATGCAACTACCATCCTTCTCAGAGAACAGTGACACGCAGAGTCATAGGAGTCATATTTGAGCTATCTAAACTCTGTCTGCATTTTAATTTAAGTAATGATAGGTATCTAAGATTCACAACGCATTGCTCTGTCTCCTCAGTGGTGTCTAAAATCAGGTCACCAGCTTTTGAAGCACGGTAGTCTAGGACATCCCACAAGTTTGGGTGGCTCAGCCCCACCGAGATTAATGAAAGCTCTGGAAGTTTTGCTCAAGCCTTTGGAGTAGATATGTGCTTAGAACTCACTTAGACTACGTGAGTGTAATTCAAAAAGGTGTAGTAGTTAATTTGTTAGACCATACACACAGAAATTTGAAGACTTACATCCCTATCATCAGTCAGAGTAAATCTGACCCCACAGTTTTTAAATCCTGAGAGCACACCCCGGCCAACAAAAGCTGTGTGGTCTTTGGGGACAAGGATCTTCCTGCAGGAGTTGTGCTCTGCCACGCTGAAGGCTGGGAATGCAAAGGAAGTCTGACTTCATGGGTACCCTCCTTTTTTTTCCAAACTATAAAAAGGAAGAGTGCTGGTTTATCATGCCTGTTCCAAGGTCTGATTATACATTTTTTATGTGAGATCTACTTCTCTACCATAAAACTACACATGCTGAGATAGGAGTCACATGTTTTTTTTTAATTTCTGGAAGCATGCTTCTGAGATCCTCTCTCTAGTAGTAGGCAGTCACGGAAGTTGCAGATTGCCAATAGCTGAGACACACAGTTTTGTAAATCTCTCTCTGGCTGACTGAAACTTGTATTTCCATTGCTGTGTTCAAAATCAAGAAGCTGATACGCAATTCAAACCAATACCCTTGCTCACTATGCTATATATGTACGATGGGGAGAGGCAGACTTCAGCAAAGCCTGCCCTTCTCTATTATCAAGGCTGGATAGCCAGTGTGAAACAGGTTTTGACAGATCCATGTAAGTTAGATGCTGGCAGTAATCTGCAGGATCATTCCAAAATCACAACAAATCCTGAGTGGTTCAGTAAGGCATGTTGTAGTTCAGCTGGTGCCAGTCTCAGCTGGCATGGAGAATGCTGGTATTATGCTGAGGTTTTCTATTGATTTGTACTCCTCTCTTACAGATCAGACCTCTAGAAACAGAGCAATAGGCGTGCCTCCTCAGTGCAAATAACAATCATCTCCTCTGTTGGCAGTTATAAGCTAGCTCATTACAGTGTCTCTGAAGTTCAACTGGGTAAAATACCTGAGTATCTCATCCAATATTTAAACCACTGTCTTGTGATGCTTTGTGCTATTAAAGAGTTGCTGTATTCCTCAGTAGTATTGGGTAGCACAAACTTCTAGTTTTGCATATCTTTGTGACTTTTTTATATTCTAAATATTTACATAAAAAGAGCTCTTTCAGTGATTGGTGCATAGAAATGCAAAATATCATATATCACTTTATGAAAAACTGCATGAAATTATTGAGAACAAACATTTATTCTTATTGCATGTATATTTTTTCTCTCTAAGGTTCATAACAGTCCTCACTGTTACGGTTCGGTATATTCTTGTCAGAGGTCTGTCAGCTTATTTTTTTCAAACCAAGAAGAAATAATCATTTCAGGACATGAAGTAAGAAAAGATGGAATCAGGTAAGTGTTCTAATGGTGGGTTTTAACATTTTATTTCAAATAGATAGCATGGAGTTTGGGGAATTGGTGCTTTTTGAACCAGTCAGAGAAAATAACTTGATATATATGTTTATTGATCCCTTGCTGTTCTGTATTGGGGCTGACAGCGCTCTAGTGTGAGCAGATGTAATGGTGCTGATGTAACACCTGAGTGAGGACAACATACACGCCCTGCATGAAACTTGTGTTCAGCTTCTCAGCTGTAACCTAACAATTACCCATCCCTACTTTGTATAGACAAAGTCTGCATCAGACAGCTCTAGCTAATCCTTGGTGCATCCTGATACCATTTTGAACAAGGCAGTCACTATTTATTCTTGGTAGCTATACTTAACGTAAGACATAATCTTCTTCTAGACTAGTATGAATTGGTTGAATCAAAGATCTTACATCCCCTTTGCCCCTTTGGGGCAAAAACTCCACAAAACATCTCTGAGGTACATCGAACACCCAGATTTACAATTTTGTTATAATAAAGAAAAAAGATGAGTGCAAGGCTATCATAAGTATGTTTTACTGGTTGATGAAGTACAGAAAATTTCACAGTTGTGAATGTGTTCTTGCCATCGCCTTTGATGTAATGCTGTAGCCATTAGTGCCTGAGACTGATAGCTACAGTGATACTGTTCATCCCAACAGAAGCAACTTTGGAAAATTAGGATTACATGCGTGCTGCAATATTATTGTGCAGTGGTCTTTGGCCAAAGGGGAAGATATATAGTATTTTGGTCAATAGTATTTTCTGTACTGTAAGTTTGCAGATGTCTAACCCAGCAATGACCCTGTGTCCAGAAGGGCTGCTGGTGGTCATAGTGTCACGTAGCTCCTTGTTCAATGCAGCATGCTCATGAAGTCATGCATTCCTCAATGTCCCCATGCTGGGCTTTGAAAATGAAGATTCATTATTCTTTCAGGCTTATAATTGGTACAGGTGATAGGCGTATAGAGCAGAAAAACATAAACTTTTGATGGTTGATATAGAGAAGTAAACAGAAGAAAGAATCATAAAAACATGACGAAGAATTGGATAGAAGTGACTGTATGCACCTGGAAAAAAGGGCTTAGTGAGTTAGGTGATGTTTTATGTGGCATGTTTCTAGCACTAACCTCATCTCATCTGAGACCTTTGAAGAAGGCTGTTTATTTTTCCAGATTAATTTTGCCTCAGACAGTTGGAAATGCTTTCCTTGAGAGACTGGCTGACTATATTCTGGTGAAGACTACCTTCGGTTTTTCTCTTGCTTGGGATGGAAACTCTGGTATTTATATTAAGCTGACAGAAGATCATAAGGGAAAACTGTGCGGCCTCTGTGGAAATTTTAATGGGAATAAATATGATGACCTGATACTGCAAAATAGTAAGTAAATAGCTTAGAAATGCACCCTTACCTTGTGTCAACATCTTCTATGTTCACTTTAAATATAATACTGTATAAAGGTAGAGTCTTGTTTCAGTTATTTTAGTAGAAAATTGAATATCTATTCCACTCTTCCTCATCATTAAAGATGCTAAGGGAAAAGGTCCTAGTTCAAGAAAGTATTTATATGTATGTTTAAGCCTTTTCTTGCTCAGTAGAGCACTTGGGTTATGTTTATCTTAGCTGATGAAAGTGCCTTCAACTAATAAATAAACAAATGCGTGTGGTTTTCTCTGTGTTTAAAGATGGAGGGAGAAGGAGAGAAGAGCCAAAATATTAATATTTGGAAAAAGAACCATGAGTCATTTTTTTATATGAGCATCATAAAAATGCTACTTGAAATATGTAAATTTCAAAGCTGTTGCCAGGGAGTTCCTTGTAGCTCTCTGTTGTTATGGTGTATTATGGACGTCTGACTACCCTGTAGGGTGAGGAGTTGCCCAATGCTGCGTCTGAGGAAGAGATGACTTGCTGAGCTGGTAGAATATTCTGTCGTCTATGTAGGGAATACTCTACAGCGACTTTTGTCCTACTTGCAACTAATGGGGAAAAAAAAGAACCCAAGTATGAGAATGAGGGATACTTTTCTCAGTCTCTCATAAAAACAAAGATAGGACTGTTTTACCATTAATTGCTGAGAGAATCCAGTCCCATGGCCCTGAATGTTCTTCAGTCACAAAAACTACCTCACTGCAACTTTTTTCCCCTCCTGATTTTCCCCCACTTTTTATGGTTGATAGCAGAGCTTTTTGACTAAGTGAAAGAAGATACAGTGTACCTATCTTTGTATAGCCTTTAAATATCTGCCAAATATAAATTTCTCATACATCTTCTGCCATGAGAGCAGGAAGTTCCCTGTCTCATGCATTAACTTTTGCACACCAGAATATAGTATGTTTAATAAGTAGTAAAAACTAGTGTTCTGTAATAATGGAGAAAAATGGACTTCTCTAAAAATTAGTAATTTCCATATCTTTAAATGTATTATCTGTTATAAAAGACTTCCAGCTCTTAGCTCTCTGAATTTCCAGAGCTACATTTCTTCAGTCATCATTTCTTCTAGCATTTTTCTTTATCAGAAATGATAATATTATTGTAGTATACAGTTGAAAGTGCTATGAATCATTTTAACCTTGAACCACTTGTATAACATGGTGCCTTGACTCTGTGCAAATACGAAGCACGAAGTTCTGATGTCTTCACAAGAATGGACTGCTAATTCAAATAACTTCTAAGTTGCAACATTTTCTAAGTGTTTCCATATCTTATATTTCATTTGGGATGATGATTTCTCTCCCCCAGCTAAACTACTGCTCCCAGTAGTGTAAGGGAAGCTCTTACATCTGTCCTGAGCATCCCAGAGTCTGAATGCTTTCTATGCTGACAGGCATGTAATACTCCATTTAAAAGCACAGTTTAAAAACAAACTCCTTTTCTGTTTCCTTATCTTCATCCTTAGTGGCAACTTTGTATTGCTTTAATACACAAGGCTGTATCTGCGTACACAACTGTTTAAAGGGCAGTGGTTTTATTTTGTGGTATTTTTTAAGGACTTAGAAATTTTTTTCAAGCCATGTTGAAATGTAAATAAAATATTTTGATGTTTTTGCAGGAACAGAGTTATGCCAACGGGTTTACCTTTAGATCAAACCCAGCTTTTTGTGTTTGGGAAGGGCTTTCTGCATAAACAATTATTCTGCCATAGAGGGAGAAATGTTTTAAGTCTCCCTGGCTCTTAAGTAAAATAGACTGGTGGTTAAGATCTTAACTGTATTTATTTGTGGAGATCCAAGTACAAATATCTGATTAGCGTGCTTTGGAACTTTCCACATTGCAGAGTGTCAAACCGTACATCTTGTGCTGGAAGAAGTTAGATTAAGTTTTGGATAGTAGAGGTCTGTGAAAAAAAATGTTGCTGATTTCATTTCAATACCCTCTCTCCTAACCATACATAGATATAGATAACTGTTGCATAGATAACAGAATCACACAGAATCACAGAATGTTCGGGGTTGGAAGGGACCTCTGTGGGTCATCTAG